CCCCAAAACCCCAAAACCCCAAAACCCCAAAACCCCTTGGGTGAAAACTATTAAATTTATGATTTTATGAATAATATATATTTTTGTAATGAAAATGCAAATACAGTAAAAATCATTAACCTTTCAAGAATTCGACAAAGTATTAATAATAAGAGAAACTAACAATTTTTATAGAGACTTGACATCTTGGAGGAAAGGTTTATAAAGTTGAAGTAAATTCAAAGATTTATTAAACAATATTAATAGAAAAAAGGAGTCAAATGCTTAAGCTGATTAAATTGGAAACAGTGGTAATAATTAGACTCAGACGGTTGTAAATACTTTACAAATCTCTAAGAGAATAATAAATATCTCAAACTCATTGGTATATAATAACTTTGCTTGATCAATTTACTAAATCATTTCTGTAGGGAATTCTATGTATTTAGAATAATCTTTTTGAACTTGCTTTTCACTATATTTCAAAATCAGTAAGTTTTAGATAAACAACTTATCAGAATATTAAATTTAGAAACAACTTTTTCAATCTTTTATATTCCTAACATTGCTAATAATAGGCAAAAATAGACTTGAGTTTCTTTGAGATTTTATCGAATTAGCTGAGAAAAAATATGGTGAAGTGGAGAGGGAGAGTGCTAATGAATAATATTCTCGCTTATTTCTTTTATTAAGTTAAGGATTTGGGAAACGCCCTTAAATATACATTTGAAGCACAACAATACGCAGTGGAGTAATTACCATTATCCTTTACTTATTTCTATTATTAGATTGAATGAACAAAGAAACAGAGACTGCGATTATATAATTTCTGTAAACTTTGTGACATTCTTGATACTGTGGAAAATAGGCAAATACTAAGAAGCAAAGAGATATCTAGATATTAATAGAAAATTGATAGATGTGCTACTGAATGAAAAATCTAAAATTCTAACTGATGCTAATGGAGCTATTAATGGACTGAGTAGATATAATGAGCCTAATGGAAACCAATCCTCCCTCTCTGTGATTCTTGAAAGTTCACACTAGACTTTTAACAGGTAGACTTTAAGCGGTTAGCTTAACGGCGAGGGGGATGAGTTGTTCAATGATGACGTATAAAGATTTAAATCACCGGATAATAAAAATAGGATAAAGGAAGTTTCAATGTTTGACAAAAAGTTTGATAAGAAAGTTCTGTAATAATTAATGGCATCTGACAGCGAGGAAGAAGTTCTTTAGGCAAATCTTCCATAATCACAAAATAACTAAACATAGGACTAGTAATCTTAGCATTTCTCCATAAGAAAATCTAATATTAAGAACTACTCTAGATTATCTTAGCTCTCAAAACTTAACTTACTAGGCTTAATAGATCTGTCACTTATAGCTGCTGACTTGAAGATATCTTAAGACGTTGATTAGGCAATTAAGAGCTGCGAAGATAGCGTCTAGATTCTCAAACTTACCAATAAAGATATTGGTGACTTAGGAATAGCATCTTAAAATTTAATTGAAGAGTTGAGAGATAACTTGCTTAAAGTCAAGGAAAAAGACCTCGATCTTGATGATATCAATAATTCTCCTTCTCCTTAGAAAACCAAATCCTCTTTAATGCACATCTAGTTGTAGAAGTATCAACAAGGTGACTAAGAGGAGATTGAATTTTTGAAAAGCATCAGAAAAGGAAATAAAATCATAACCTCCAAAGAGTTCAAATTAGTATTCTTCATTACTTGTTTTGTTCCGTTTATAAGACCTAATGTACCGATGATTAGAGAGCAAAGCATGACTAAAGCTAAGCAAGCTTAAAAAGAAAATATAAGAAAAAGAAAGTAGCAGTATGCTCTTTCAAAGGCAGAAGAAGATAGCGATCTATACTAATTAGACATGTAGATGTTTGAGTTTTTTAAACGACAAAAGGAGAGGTTAAACGATAATGCATCTCAAACCAACGAGCAAGCATAGTAAAACTAAAATCAGTCTTCAGGTGTGAGACTGCCCCTTGGTTAATCACTATTAGTGAAGCTATACGATGATGAAATTTCGAAGAGGTAGAGACATGAACAGGCCTTTTAGAATACCTTGCCTAGCCAGAATAATAAGAAAGAAGCCTTTCCTAACGCTCTTAACTCCAGAAAGAATATTCAAATGAAGCCAAATTTGTATAAGAAAAAAGCATATTTATCATAAGTAAGAGACGTTTCACATTAGCAGCATTACCAAGGAAATTCTTAAGATGCATCAATGGTAGCTAGCAATATCTAAAATGATAATCCATAGTAGCCAGGCTAGAATAATCCAATAGAAATGAACAATGAAGAATAATCGAATCACTAGTCTCAGAATCATTAAGTAAATGAAGATGGTTCAATGATAGACTTGAGAGTTGTTACAAATACTGAAGCCATTGCTAATTAGAAAAGTAAGTCTGCTGGTCATTACAACTCGTCTTCTTTTAATGAAAGAATGAAGAGAACATATATTTCAGAATTTCCTAAGATATCTAACAACAAAAATGCATCTAATCTAATTAATCATCACAATCAATAATTTGTTCAAAAGAATACATTATCGAACAGAAATCAAAATAAGAGAGGTGTAACGAATTAAAAGCCTTCTTACTTGCTTAATAACTCGTCCTACTACTCAAACATGTTCCCTAGTTTTGTTCCCAAGCATAAGGTATTTTAAGGTTAGATGGGCATCCGAAGAAATATATATAATGCGGCCATTGAGAGAAGAGAGAATGACGAGGATAGCTACAATTATGAAATTATGAATAAAAATCAAAGCTAAGATAGATTGCAATCCGAAGAGGACATTTATAACAAAACCATGAAAGACAAGCTTACTTCTTACAAAGATAATAATCCTAATATTGAAGAATCAGGAGGAGATGAAACTTTATACCCTAAATCCCTCATGCAAACTTAGAATGTTAAATAGAGTACTGACTCAACCATAAATAATAATAATTAAATAAATAGCAACAGCTATCATTAGAAGTCAGAATTTTCAAATAATAGCATGGCTGAAAAAAGGCTTGAAGATTCTATTGTTATTTAAAGCATGCAACAGCAGAACGTGAATAACAGCACTGATTTTGGGAGCTTTTAAAAGTTAAACTAGAAATCACAGCCTAAGACTGCTGAGGAATAAGTTAGAAATCACATAAATCCTATTTCCACTAGATCTAAACTCAGCAGGGGTCACTAATTTTCGAACATAGACCACAGAAACTACTAAAGCCAGTAATAGAGACTTAAAACTCAGCATAGAGTTTAAAGATTAGATTCAAATAATATTGGATAGCTTCTCACCAATCACTACAATTTTACAGACTAGGCGAAGTAGCAAGCATTGTAAAAAATTGAGGCATAGCTGGAGAAGAATAATAAAAGGTTTAAAGTCATTAACAATCTGGCCCACGAGTATGTGAATTAAAAAACAAATAATCATTCGTTTTTGAAATCAAAGGATGGCATTCAATCAATAATTGGAACAAATAGCAATATAAATCAAAGCAAAAAGCAGCTCGAACAGTTACAAAAAAATCATGAAAAATGGGCAAACTATGAAGGAATACGATCAATAGGGGAGGGCTCTCATGACAACAGTAATAAAAGCAATATCTTATGAAAGTTAGAAAACAATAAATACAAATCATATAGCTAAACTATTTAATAATTTTATTTAACATTTCATTCTGCCAAGAAATTATCGTTACTTATGGGGTTTTGGGGTTTTGGGGTTT